TGGGTGGATGGGTGGATGGATGGATGGGCAGACATATGGATAGATGTGTAGATGGATGGATGGTTGAGTGGATGGAAGGACAGATATGTAGTTATGTGGATGGATGGGTGGGGGCTGGATAGATGGGGCTGGATGGATGGATCTGTGGATAAATGGATGGGTGGGTGGGGTGGATGAATGGATGGATGGGGTAGGTGGACAAACGATGAATTTGTATAAATGGATAAATAAGCAAATGGACAGATGACAGATGGACAGATGGATGCACGCACACATGGACATATGGGTAAACAAACGGTTGGGTGATGGCTGGGTGTACAGGCAGCTGTGTGGAGTCCTTGTGCTACAAAGATAGCTTGTAGCTGAGAGCAGAAGGATAGCTCTCTATCCTGAGAGCCACACGGAGGCCTCTCAGTGTTAGAGCACCTTTCATAACTTGCTGCCCATACAAGTTTAATGAACAGGTATTTCTCAATCTAAGATCAGGAAAGTCTTCCAGGAAGGAGCCTCCAGGTGAACCCAGGTGCTGAGGGTCACAAGAGCACATCACTCACCTGGGGCCACTCCACTGTAGGAAACTCCAGAGACACGGAGGAGGGGGTTCCCCTCGTGGTCCTGGCCCTTCACCTTGAGGTAGAAGCGCTCCTGGGGAGCACGGAAGGGCGGGCCGCCCCACAGCTGATGGCTGGATCCATTGGAGAGAGGGCTCACGGGTAACGTCAGGAGGGGCTGCCCCGAGCTCTGGGCTAGCTCCACCGAGTCCAGGCTGCCGGGTCCCTGCAGGCCCGTGGAGTTGATCACCAGCGAGATGGGCACCCCTGCAGAGGGAGGGGCACAGAAGGAGTTGCTGGCATGTGTTGGGCTCCTTGAGTGTCCCCAAACGGGGTCCCCAGGACAGAGGGAGGGACCCTTCCTGGATCCCACACTAGAGCTGGGAGGAGGGAGGAGAGAGCATTGGCTGCTGTCCATGGTGCTGAAACGCACCGTCTCGCCCACGGCTTCCCAGACACCATCACCGCCATTCCGTGACTGGATGTACGTGGCAGGACTGGGCAGCGCATGCCGACTAGCCCACCCCTGCTGGCTCTGGGACAGCCTGGTTGAGACGCACGACTTCACGGGGGAACCCTGACGCCCGTTTATCCCTCCCCTGTGGTTTCCTTTGATTTCTTTTCTGTCTGGTTGAAATGTACTTCTCACACTATACCAGAAAAGACAGAACAGCCCTTGGACTTTACCACTTAGAACAACTGTCCACTCTCCTTATTCAGACAGTTTGGAATATTTTTCCTTCTAAGACCATACACTAGGGACCAGTGGGTAGGGCTGGTGTGGTCCACGACATGTTTTTAAATGTTTGAAGAAATGCCAGGCCATCTGGGAAGGGCACACACAAACCTAGGAGTCCACTCTCCTGGCCTCAAGTGTGTGGGGTTGGCCGCCCTGCCGTGGTGACCTCTGCCCTGCACCCACTGTCTGGCCCGTCGCAGACCCCAAGCCTGAGCCCCTGGCGTCGAGGCCGAGTGTCTGTCACTATTTACCTTTTGCAACTGTCCTGTGTTTTCTCTTTTTCCAGTATGTCTTGCTCCCGTTTTCATCGAAAGCAGAGACCCAAAGGGCCCCCTGAGGCCCCTTCACCCTTCACCCTTCCACCGGGCTGGCCCTGAGGATGCTCAGCCTGAACCCCCCACTCCCCGACCTGGGACCCTTCCTCTCCTGGCCTTCGAGTAAGGCCCGCATGCCCCTGCCTCTCCCCAGGTCTGCTAAACAAGCGGAACAAGCAGGCAGCCGCTTTCACTGCGACGACGTCACTGCCGGTCCTGGCTGGGAGAACAACCAGGGCTGACGGTGACAAGTGCTGGAGCCGTGCAGACCCGGGAGGAGGCTCAAAGGCCCACGTTCTATCACGACTCAGCCTGGCCTGGCCCAGATCCTTCCCCACCTCTCTTCTGAGCTGACTGCAGCAAAATCCTCCCACTGGCCCCCTGGTGAGAAGCCGTGTTTTCCAAACTCTGAGTTGGGACCCCAACGTGGCGGCCAGATGGCACTCCCTGGCACGGAGCTCAGGCAGCCCGAGCCAGCAGCGTCCGCCCGCCCGGGCCCACCTGCTCCAGATGACTCGCGATGGGACGCGGAGACGCCTCAGACACAAGTGGGGCCTCCGCCCGCAGCACCGACACCCTCCCCGGGCGGCCACCCCCAGCAGGGCTCCCGGGCGTCTCACTGCCCATGGGCCTCTCGCCTTTGGGGGCACAATCGGTGCTCGTCAGGAGGAAGCCGCTCCCCGGACCCGCCTGGTGACCGCTGGGTGACTCCAGTGGGGTGTGGCTGGGTGAGTCCAGGAGAAACTAAGTGGGGAGGTGTGAGCCTCGAGTGAGGGGCCACAGACGAGCGGCCCTGGGCCTCTGGGAGCAGGGGATGTTCTGCCTGTGAGCGGTCACCAGGCCGCCTGGGGATGAGCCCGGCTCCTGTGGTTTGGGGGCCCAACCTCGGGGCTGGGTCCAGACTCACAATACCCCCAAAGTGCCCACCACTTTGCAAACGCCAGAAGGCCGCGCCTCGTCAGCCCCCAGCTGGCGCCGTACCTGCCAGGGGCCATTCGATGGTGTGGTTGAGGTCCAGAGAGGGCTGCGTGGAGAAGCCGGCCCGGAAGTTGATGTTGCTGACGCCCGTGATCCTCACGGAATGGCGGCCACTGCTGTAGACCTAACAGAGGCCCAGGGCACGTCACGGGGCGCCCAGCAGCCCTCCGGGGAGGAGGCGGCCAACTTACCTGGCCAGTCGGCAGCTGGGCTCCCCCCACGTCACAGACAAGCGGGCAACTTGCCCTCCTGGGGCTCCCGACAACGTGTCCTGAGCTAGTGCCCACCGCCTGCCTTCCAGCCTCCGGCCGGCGGGCTGCCATCTAACCCCGCCTCCCCACTGGGTCAGAAGCCTCTCGCAGACGCTGGGCGCGAGGGGGCGGTGGGCACTGGGCTCCTCGGGGGGCTGCCGGCTCAGTGCCGGCCCGTCGGTGCCGTGTTGGCCCGGTCAGCGGGAGCTCATGTCCTGCACGGCAGCCGGCTGTCCCACCAGGATGCTCTGTAAGAGCCACGCCTGTCCCGGTCCTGGTCCCTGGCACCTGGCAGGTCAGCGCGGCCGTGGTCCCTGCCCCCACCCCTCAGGCCGCCCACCCGGCCACCCTTGCTTCTCTGTGCACTCACACTGCACAGGGTTCTGGTCACTAGCCCGTTCCATCGCCCACTTCTGGACCGTCACGTTCTTTCCCCAGGCCCTGCCTTCATGTGCCCTGACTAACCCTGAACCATGCCACCTCCTGTCACTGCCAAAGCTGGGAAGCCTTCCTATGTCCTTGACCCTTTACTTCTACAGATAGGAGCCCTCACTGTCCACACACCACCCCACGGCTTCCAGGCTCCCCAGGGCCGGCTGGGGGGAGGTGATGGCTGCTCAGTGCAGCTGGACTGCCCACTCCTACCTTGATGGACCACAGGCCGGGATGCTCAGGCTTAAAGGCCACGACCTTCGCCGAGTCAGGGATGCTAAGGAGCACATTGAGGCCCTCGTCCTTCTGCAGGATCCGCCCTGTGAGAGCCACAAGGACCGCTCAGTCCCTGATCCTCTCCTGGGGTGGACAGAGGGCACACCCTGCGCCCAGGGGCCCAACACTGTCCAAGCACCAGCCCCAGACTCCCTGGAGAGATGCACAAGAGGACTCTGGCGCGCCCAGGGCTCTGCCTCATGCCGTCCTCACACTCACCCCGCCGGTGGAGGACGGGGCAGCCCACGCACCTGGCCCTGGGCCTGGAGACTCAGCGCCTCCTTGGAGCATGGTGGGGCCAGGCGCCCAGGCCCAAACCGCTGACCCTGCCTCCAGAGTCCCCAGCTGCCCATCCACAGTGTGCCACGAATTCTCGCCCCCGCCCTCCAGGCCACCGTGGGGACCACCGAGAGCCTCGAGTCCCCTCACTCAGCTGTTCCCAGCCTCCGCACATCCTCCCCCGTGGGCGCCTCATGGGCCTCCCCTTGCTATCCCCTGCCCCCTCCTGTGTCCAGCCCCTGCCACCGGTCTCCCTCTGCCCCACCCAGCTCAGGCTCGAGCCCTGAGGCGCCTACCCAGCGGGTCCCGGACTTCAATCTCAGGCCCCGGGCCGCTCAAGGAGATGGTGACCTCCTTCAGGCTGGAGTCAAAGGGGATGTTCCACAGGTGCTCGCCCTCCTCCTCGTGGTCTGTGGACAGCAGGTGCACCTTGGAGACCTGGAGTGCTGACTCCACCCACTTCAGCACCTAGGAGGCAGGTATGAGAAGCTGGCGCTGGCAGCTCAGGTCAGCCGCCGAGGCGGGTGCCTAACAGGCTGCCAGCTGCGTGCAGGGCCCCGTCTCCCCGGGGGAGCATGCGGGTCACCCAGGGCCACCCGCCCCTGCCCCACGCCAGGCCCAGTCTCAGGCTGTTACTATCCTGGCTTGTGACGCCTGAACCGAGGCACCAGGTGGGGGGGGGGGGCGGGCAGGGACAGGTGCCCCACCTGGGAGGACTCTTCCCTCCTCTGCCCGAGGATAGTCCCACGACGCCCGCCCCGGCTCGAGGACGCACCCCAATACCCGCTACACGCAGATGAGCCCCGGGGACCCGAGTCTCCCCCAGACCACAGCTCGGCACCACAAGACCCGTGTCAGGATGGACCTTCCTGGGCCTCCGCCGGTCCAGGAGGCCCAGGCCCGGCTTCGGTTTCTACGGCCCGGCTTCGGTTTATTCCGGAGCTTACATGTTCGGGGCGCTGACGCTGGACCTGGCGACGGGGACCCGGAATTCCAGCCCCGGAGACACGCCTCTCTGCTCTGCTCTTAGGGGCTTCTCAGGCTCCCGCCAGCGTCTAAGCCCCACGTGAGCAACCCTGGATCCGGCCTAAGACGGCACCTCGCTGAGCACAAACTGACTCAGTTTCCCAAGTCTCTCCCAAGGCCTTGGAGACCCCACGTCGGAGTCATCAGCCCCCTCATTCACGGGGCTGGACCGGAGCCTCCCCCGGCCCCACCGCTGTCTTAGCAGAGATGCCTGGTCTGCGCCAGGCCGCGGCCGAGCTCTGCGCACCTGCCTTGTTTATTCGCAAGCAGCGGAGAGGTGAGCGGCTTGCACAGCGTCGCACGGCCGAGGCTTGCGTGGCCCCGCAGAGGCGGGGAGGAGCGCAGGCCCTCCGGGGCCCGGGCCAGCGCACCTCCAGCCCCAGCGCCGCCCCTGCGGGGGCTCTCTGGCAGCGGTTTGCACCCCATGATTCACGCCTGTTAGACCCAGGCCTGCCTGCCCTGTTGGCCGGGGACTCCGTGGCCGAGGAGGCTCCGCTGTGCCCCGCTCGGGGCCTGGAGCAGGGGTTCAGGAGACGTCTGTCCGCTGCCTGTGACACGTCAGGGCGGGCGCCTCCCAAACGGGGCGTCGGCGTCACCCCGGTTCACGCCCCAACTCCCTAATCGCGCCTCCTCCTTTGCAAGAGCAGAGCTCCCGGGCTCCAGGGGAAATGCGGGGAAGAGTGGGGGGCCCTCCCGTCTGAACCTCTTTCCAGGCCCTCACCACAGGCAGCCCCGCGCAGCCTCAAGCCAGAGCGGCAGGAAGCCGACGCCCGCAGGCCAAGGGGGCGACACCGAGCCAGCGCCCAGCGCCCTGAGACGGCTCAGCCACACCTCAGCAGGCGCCCGAAGACGAGACCAGCAAGGGGTCTTCCGGGGTTTTCCAGTCAGTGCAACCATCTGTCTGCTGACTCTGAAGCTGCTTTAAGAAATTCGAAAGATAAAGCGCAGAAGAGAAGGTGTTGCTGCTCTGCCGGGCGGTGGCCAGGACACCGCCAGGGTCTGGTACAGCCCTGAAATTCATGCAGCTGAGTTCAACCCAGCGGTTTCCAAAGGCCACGCCCCACTCCGGCGCCTTGGAGACGGGCTGATGCCAGGGCGGGGCAGGTGATTTAGGGGAACCCAGGGCCCTCCCTGGGGCCACAGAGGTTAAAGTCCCAGCGCCATCAAGCTATCTCCAGTCACTGTGGCGCAGGTTCCATGCCCGGCCAGGGAGGGACCCACAGGGCGCAGCGGGCCTCTCCTGCCTCCCCGCTGCTCCCCTCCGCCAGTTCTGCTCCCCACTCTGTCTCTGACCCCCCCGCACCTCTGGCCTGCACCCCAGTTCTTGTATGCATAAATATTTTTTCAATCCCGGGCAAGGCAGCTCTCAGAAACCAAGGGAGACATAACAAAAGGACACACACCGGTCAGAGGAGGGCAGACCTGCTAAATGCGGAGTGACCCGAGCCCCCAAAGCATGGTGCCTGGGACCCTTGGGGACACATCACGTGTCCATCCTGACACTCAAGAAAGAAACCAAATTTCACCACGGCCAGCCCAGGGCCCCAGGGAGGCGGCCTTTCACTAACGAGCAGCCGAGCAGCAGCCCTGCCCCCTCACGGAGCTGCTCCGGAGAAGCCAGCCGTGTCCTCATCCCTTTGAGGAGCACAAGCTCTTGGTGGAAGAATGCCGCTCACAGCTGGGGGAGGAATGATGCAATTAGGAGCCATCGTGTCCGGCCCTTAAGGAATCAATTGTGCTAAGCAGGGATACTTGGCGGGACTGGAGGTGCAGAGTCCACGGTACCCACACCCCACTGGAGTCCACTGCCCACACCCCTGGAGTCATAAAGAGAAGCGCGGGCTCAAGGAGCCTTGCGGCTCTCACCACCTCCATCACACTCTCATCAGTAACTGCGGACAGATGTGATTTGCTGCCTGGTGTGATGCAATAGAGAAACCAGCACCAGCCACAGACTGTTCCTGCAAAGGGTTGGCCTCCCGCTCGCCAGTCCTGGGCCATCAGCTCCCAGCCCGGGGAAGCGGGACGAAGGAGCAATGCGGGACACCGTCAGGAGGTGCGGCCAGTCACGGGACACTGCGCGGCCGGCCTAGCAGCAGGCCGAGGGACAGGACAGCCTGAGGGCAGGCGCGCCCCTGGCAAAATCCCCATTTGACAGAAACTTCATAGGAGACACTGAGACAACGGGGAGCCTGAATGGGGACTAGGTGATCTAGCAAGGTGCCACTAGTTACTAGATGAACTCGGGGCGGAGAGGGATGCCACATGTACACGCACGGGGGGTGAGCTATGCACCCCTAGAGTAGATATTCATTGCGCACGTTGTGCATGCAAATGACTGGCAAATTAATTGTGAAAGAGTATAGGATGTGGGCCGCCCTGGTGGCGCGGGGGCCAAAGCTATCAAGCTGTCACTGGCCACTGCAGCATGAATTCGGTCCCCGGCCAGGGAGGGACCCCCAGGGCACAGCAGACCCCTCCTGTCTCCCCGCTGCTCCCCTCAGCAGTGTATTCAGTCAGCCCACCTGTTCTGCTCCCCCCTCTGTCTCTGGGGAGTCCTCTCACCTTCCACACCTCTGGCCTGTACCCTGGTTCTTTTATGCATAGATAAATAAAATAAATCTTAAACATATATAGTCTATGAGATATCTAACAGGAAAAATTTTTATTAGATGATATTGTCGAGTATGTTGGAGATTATCATTCTTTAAGTGGTGACTTACTTATGGGTAAGGTATCATAATTCAGCAAAAAGTATAAAAGGGACTTGAAACAAAACAGGTGGAGCAAAATGTTCATGGCTATATCTAGTTGGTGCATATGTTCTTCTTACTTTTCTAGAGTGTTGAAACTTTGTGTACTAACCTTTAAAGCAAAAGTTGTTCTAGCAGAACAAGGATGACGTGGTTTTGATATGTATGCAGACAGGCAAGGTGCCAGCCTGCCGCTCACGAGCTCTAGTCAACCGGAAGAGGCCCCTTGGAATTCTGCTGGAGGAAGAACTACAGAGCCACATTCGGTCTTTGTTAGAACAGCTCTGCAGTTGACTAGTAATGTCTGCCGTGAAAACGGGCGCAGACCACGGTGCCTTGTGTGCTATATCCCAACCCTCCTTGCTCTAAATTCTAAAACATGGTGCAGCACTTGATCTCCATAGAAAGGAAAGGGAAAAGAAGGAATTGAAAGAATTAGCCTAGATTTAGACAACGAATCTGTGTTGCTCAGGGTGAGCTAAAACATGTGTGCCTAGATGTTACAGCTAAATTTCTGTTATCACCAGATAAGAATTCCGCACTCTGAATAACTCTTCTGTTTTTACACTTGGAGAGACTCCCTTCTTCTGTTTTTCCTAGCTTTCTAAGTAATGTTTCTCTTGAAAACGTCCCGCCTGCCAAGAATGGGGACGGGGGTGGATGGAAGCAGTTAAGGCCCTCAGCTGGGGAGCTAGACAGAAGCTGGGAAAGGGACAGCGGCAACTCCCCACCACAAAGCCGCAGCCCCGTGACCACTGTCTTCTCTGGGGCCAGGCGTCAGGAGGAAATCCTACCAGTGCAAAGCTGCCCAGAGGTGGTGGCAGCACCAGCTAAAATTACAGACAAGTCACACCCATCACTGTGTTGCAACTGTCATTACAAGCTTGTTCTAGGATGTTCTGATGGAGGGGCGATGCCCAGGAGTTTGGGCTACTGAACCACGGAAAGACTGAGGCGGACAGAATGCCCGTGACCCCAGCAGGAGGTGGGAGCCCACAGAGCATGTGCTGTGAGGACCTCAGGCCCCAGGGAGTGGGGGTGTCTGGCCCTCTTGTCCACAGTAAGGCCAGGCCCTCATAGCCCCTGCTGGGGCACAAAGCCTAGAGGACCCTGCAATGGCCCAGGCTCAGAGCGGAATCTGGGAGCCTTCCTAGCCGAGAGCCTTCATCCAGCGAGCTCAGTGTTTATTTGGTGAAGACGATTGCTTCCAGATGTTAGTGGGACTGGGACTGGGGGAACAGGGAGCCAGCGAAGCACTGGGGCTCATCTGTCTGTGGTTGATGGGGAAGGAATGAAGGATCTGGCGCTGCTCTCCTGGCCAGATGGCTGCCGCTGGGCCTCCACCAGATAAATCATCCCCCGAGGCTGCCTCTAGGACACTTGACAGCCAGGGTGACGAGGCGGAGAGGGAAGGGGGGTTGGGGGGTGGGGGTGGGGGTGAACGGGCTTCAGCGCTACAAGTCAGAAAACTTCAGGCTGATCTGGGGACAGTGGTAGAGGGTGAGCGCTGACCCTCCCCGGCTGGACCCCCCCTGGGCACCGTCCCTGGTTCTACCCTCCTGGAAAACTTTCCCAAAGAGTTTTTGCTCTTCTGGGGCTTTGCTCGGCTCCTACGTGCAGGGGCTGGCGTTACGGCCACCACGAGGCCTTACCTTGGGCGCCGGGACACCTGGCCTCCTCCAGGCCGCCCTCTCGCCTCGGCACTATCTCACTAAGCCCCAGCTCTCCTTAGCCAAACAGTGCACACGCACAAGGAAAAGGAGGCCCAGAGAGGTCCAGCGCTCTCTCACGGTCACACAGCAGGAGTGGCCGAGCCGGGGCTGCTCCACCACCCTCCACCATCTGGGAAGGGTCCAGGCTGACATCATCTCGGAGCCTGGGCCTCCTGATCCGGTAATCAGAACCACCTGGCGGGACCCCTCCCCCGCCGTCTGAGCAGGCGGGTCCTCTTTCCCCAAGTTGATGCACAGAATCTGGACAAGCTCTGGGCCCTGGGCTGTCACACAGGGGAGGCTCTGAGCCCCCAGAATGAGGCTTCCCAGGCCTTGGGAAGGCCGCTGGTATGGGCTCTGTCTGTGGCCATTCCAGCCAGTTCCACTGGGTCTGGGGGTGGCCTGTGGAGCTGGTCTGAGCTGGGGCGCAGCCTGCAGGACAGTGGGACTGGGGCCGGGGTTCTTGGACCCAGCTAAGTCCTGATAGAGGGCGCACAGCGACCCTGCCCACTGCAGGATGGCAAAAGTCCTTAATTACTCCAGCCAGGTTGGCGGGGGCCCAACCTCCTTTTGTACCAGGGAACCCCCAAGTTTCCATGAGGCCAAGCCCACAAGAGAGAAGAGCTAAATGCATTGCAGCCGCCAAGGGGCCCCTCGCCCAGCTGCAGCGCCGGGGCGCTGGAGAAGATCATCCCTCCCCAGGGGTGACCAAGTCCTGGCCGCCCTGACCCCGTTCCCAGGCTCGTCAAGTGAATGTCTGGGACATCTGCAAGGGGCCAGGTCCAAGCATCAAGCTAATAAAAGAGAGAGCTCTGCGTCCAGGAAGCAGAGGGGTCCAGGCCCCCACTCAGCGGCCAGTCCTGGGCAGTGGCGGTCCACTAAGGCAGGCTCACCGGGCAGCAGCTGCGGACCCGCCCAGGTTCCCTGGCTCCAGGGGCGTCTGGGGCAGAGCCCCCTCTGGGCAGGACACCCTGCCCAGCACCCCGCCTGGCCGCGCTGCCCGGCCGCTCGCTTGTCAGATCTGCCCAGCAGGCACCCAATTCCTGTCCAGCTGCCCAGAGAAGCCCCCCAAAGCAGGCACCAAGCCGCCCCCCGCGCCGCACTGCCTCCCGCCCTCGCTGGGGCGGCGGGGTGCCAGAGTCGGCGGGATGCCAAGAAAGAAAGCCGAGTGTGTCACCGGCAACCATAAACGCCATCTGTCAGCAGAGCGCTCAGGCTCGCTAATCTAAACACAGCCCTGGAGACCGGAGTCTTCCATCCACAAAGACACAACACGCGGGCCGCTCCGGGGCAACCGCGGCTGGCTCAGGGCCGGCGGGGAAGCTGCCGCCTCGCTTCCCCTCCCAGGCTGTCCGCGCCAGGGCCGAGTCCCCCTTCATCGGCTACTTACAAAGCACCTGCTACCGCAGGTGGCCGTGCCAGGTGCCGGGAACCTCACCGGCCCTCCCCCGGGGGCACACGGCCGGCTGGCACGACTGTGCTGGCACGACTGTGCAGGCGTAGCCGCGGGCAGCAGCGGGGTGCGGAGCGGAGTTCGGCTTGATGAGCTTCCCCCGAGGAGGTGCGCTCCAGCCAAGATTGGGGGGATGAGTGGGAGCTGGGGGGCGGGGCAGGAGCAACCAGCACAAGAGCAAAGGCCCTGGGTCGGAGAGAATATGCACGTTCTAGAAACTTCAGTGAGGCCGACAGGGCCGTCGCCAGGGGTGTAGGGACGTGGCAGTGGGGGCAGAGGGGCAGATAAGGGTCTCAGGGGACAAAGGAGGGATGCGCCGTCCAGTTCGTTCTAGAAGGACCCAGTGGCATGCAGGGGTCAGCTGCAAGGAAACTGCACTTCCCGTCCAGCTCTGCCCCAGGGCTTCCTGCCAGCGCCTGGAGTCAGCCGAGGTGGCGTTCACCTCGGCCGCGGGCGCCCGCCAGGTGCCAGGCTGGCCGAAAGCCATCTGTGCACGTGTCCCTGGGCCGCCCTCCGGAGGACTCCGGAGCCCGGGGCGGGCAGGCAGGCCCCTGGCCAGCACCCCGCGGGCTCACTGTCCCAGCAATGCAGCTGAACCTCAGGGATCCGTGGCCTCCTCTCCCAGCCTGGGGCCCCCTGACTCTGGGGTGACACCTTCTGCCACACTGCACCCGACCCCTCCTGATAACCTGGACCAGTTGTGCAAACTGGGCCCAGCCCAGCGCGCGTCGTCCCGCCCTGCCTCCGCACCTGCAAAATCAGAAAACCGCAAGGACCTGCCTCTGGGGCAGCTGGGAGTGCTCTCGCAGGCATCTTGGACCCCGGAACCCCGAGCACGCGGTCCCCGCTCAGCACCGGCCCGTCTGGCCACAGCCCAGCGGCCGGCGGCACCGCCAGAGGCTCACCTCGTTCACCTGCTGCTTGTCCAGGTGGAACACCTGCCCGGAGCTGGTGGCCGCGATCTCCTCGTAGGCCAGGTAGCCGGGGTGCGTGCGGTCCCCGCAGTCCCCAGTCAGCACGAAGACCACCTGCAAGTGAACACAGCCTGGCTGCGGCCGGGCGCCCTCCGCGGGCCACCGGGCAGGGTCTGGACCAGCCCCTCGTCGGGGCGGGGCGGGAAGGGGAAGCCCCATCTTGGGGGCTCGACGTGGGCGGGGCTCAGCGCCGCGGGAAGGCAGTGGGAGCTTGCTAAGTGGGGGTGTCGCTGAGCCCACAGCGAGGCAGGGCCTGGGAACCTGCTCGGCTCGGGCCCCGGGAACAAAGCTGCGCTGCGTGGGGAGAGGTGTCCAGGGACCTTCACCCAGGGGGTCAGGCAGACGGCCCTCCGCCCTCCCTGCAACCTTGCCGCCCCGACGGGGGAGGGGGGTGACGCGCCCAGGGATAGGAGCAGAGGGCTGCGCCCAGGGATAGGAGCAGAGGGCTGCGCGGGCCGAACTGCACGACAGCGTGTGCAGCACCAGCTTCCCCAGCGGGGCGGGGGCCCGTGAGGTCGCACTGGGGCTCCGCTCCCCAGGTGGGGCGAGGGCTGCCCACCGCCCAGCCCTGATGGGGGGAGGAGAGGGGCTGGACTCACCCGCCCACCGCCCAGCCCCAGGCGGAGGCTCACCTGCGACTGTTTGAGCTGCAGGAGCCGCAGCAGCTCCTCCGTCCGGTGGTGGTCCTTGGCGCGGGCGTCCGAGAAGACGTAGATGAAGGAGCCGGGGTTGGCGACCTCCACGGCGGCCTTGATGGCCCCCACGCTCATCTCTGGGCAGTCGCCGCCGCCCTGGGGGACAGGAGCAGCCTCCTCTGGGGGGAACCCCGCAACCCAGGGGAGGCAAGCGCCTCGGGATCGCCTGGGTCCTGACCTCCGTCCGTCCACCCTTCACCCCTTCACTCACTAAATAGTCAGCACCCGCTGTGGGCCAGCGCGGGGCTCCTCGCAGGGCCTTTAGGAAACACAGAATCGGGCCTCCCTGGGGCGCAGGGGTCACACGGCACTAGGAGGCTGTCCGCAGGAGTCCGATCCCCGCCAGGGAGGGACCCACGACGCGGCAGACCTCTCCTGCCTCCCGCTGCCCCCTCAGCAGTGTGTTTCGGTCCATCTGCCTGTTCTGCTCCCCACTCTCTCTGGTGAAGCTTCTCATCTACCCCCCACACCTCTGGCCCAGCTCGAGTGCACAAGTAAAAATAAATCTTAAAAAAAATACAGAATCTCAGGACCCCAAGCTGGGGCGCGGACCAAGGCCGCGCAGGCGCCGTGGTGGGGGTGGGGGGAGGCTGCCGGAAGCTCCGGCCCCAGTGGGGCGCAGGCCCTGGCCGGGGCTGGAGGCACACGGGGCGGCCTACCTGCACATACAGCTCTCTCAGCTCCCTCTGGAACACTGCCGGGTCCGCAGTCAGGGTCACAGGGCCGATATCTGTGGGAGAGGGGGCGGGTGTGGGGGGCCGTGCGGGGGGCTGCAGAGGGGAGAGCGAGGCCAGGCTCAGAGACCCCCACAGGAGGGGGTGCACAGCATTCCCCAGGCCAGCCAGGGTCAGATCTGGAAGAGGAGTCGGCCACTAGGTCTCTGGACCCTCCACACTGGGGTGCGAGCCCCAGGGGCAGAGGGCAGCCCTAGCCCCTCCCTCACCTGTGACCAGGACTCCCCAAGATCCGCCCTGGAGAGTCGGTGAGGAAGGAATTCTGGGGAGAAACAGAGTCACAAACACGCCTTCTTATTGGCCCA